ATGTACAAGGTTTTGTCATCATCAGGTACTTGTCGAAACGTTGTACATTTGCTGTTATGTTAAACTTATATTAAAGTTTTTCTTAATTACCCATTCAAGCCGTCTCCAGCCATTATTTAGATATATATTAGAACACGTCTTTGAAATACCATTTTCAAATCTGAACAAACTAATTATTTTCAACATGTCAAGTAGAGCTTATTCCAATAGTTAACGTAACGGATTATCGATATTCTGGTCCATCATTCCCGTCCGCAAAATATATATATATATACACTAAAAAATCGCTCTTCGCACTGTGGGGCCGTGGGTGCGTTACGTAGGATTACTGCCAAATCCTAACAGATCCAGGAGATGATGATGGGTTCTGTTGGATAGAAGCCTTCTCTACAGCCTGCCACTTTGAAACTAGGATCAGCTAGCGCAAATAGCTCTTGAATAGCTTAGTGTGAATATTTGATAAAGAACAACAAATAGCTCTTGAATAGCTTAGTGTGAATATTCGATAAAGAACAACAAATAGATCTTGAATAGCTTAGTGAATATTTGATAAACAGCAACAAATAGCTCTTGAATAGCTTAGTTTGAATATTCGACATACAAGAACAAATAGCTATTGAATAGCTTAGTGTGAATATTCGATAAACAGCAACAAACAGCTATTGAATAGCTTAGTGTGAATATTCGATAAACAACAACAAATAGCTCTTGAATAGCTTAGTGTGAATATTCGATAAACAACAACAAATAGCTCTTGAATAGCTTAGTGTGAATATTCGATAAACAACAACAAATAGCTATTGATTAGCTTAGTGTGAATATTCGATAAACAGCAACAAACAGCTTTTGAATAGCTTAGTGTGAATATTCGATAAACAACAACAAATAGCTCTTGAATAGCTTAGTGTGAATATTCGATAAACAACAACAAATAATTTAGCGTGTCTTTAGTGAAGTTGTTTTCACCTTATAGCAAGTAGTTTATAAAATGTATATCAAGTTAAAATTGGTTTTCTTTGTAATTCTCCTCCTTTGTGTTGTATATAGCTCTGTTATTTAGAAATATGAACGTAATGCGATGGTTACACAGTGAACAAATTGTACTTTCTCTCTTGGATTTGAAATTATCATTTACATATGTTCGTTGAGATTGGAAATATATATATTTGTTCTGTTTCTAACTTCGTTTGCCCCCCCAGCACAGAAAATAATGCTTAATCCAATGTCTCTTAGTTAGACCCCTGGTAGTAGAAGTACAAGCTGACCGCCAGGCCTTCTCGGCTGGACACTCTGTTCAGTTAATCTGCAGGGCCATTGGTTCTCGACCAGCTGCAGTGATTAGTTGGTGGACTGAGAAAACACAGTTCAAGAATGCCAAGTCCTCTGTGTCAGTTGATGGTAATGTCACAACCAGTTACCTAACTTTCAGGCCATCTTCAGAAGATGATGGAAAGACCATCTACTGTCGTGCTGAAAACCCTTTTATAGCAGATAGTACAGTCCAGGAAGAAAAAATCCTGACAGTTCATTGTAAGTTGCATATTAATATAATACTGAAGTTTAAAATCCAGAAACTAAAGTGAAATGACCAGAAAAGAGAGAATTTATCAAAATTAAAGTGCTTATAACCAGTATCAGTATTTAAATCATATTCTCAAGCTATTAGAGTGCAATCAATATAAAGAAAAGGAAATCAAAGCAATCAAGTAGTTAATGGAGAAACATATTTTAATGCAAATTATGAGAAAAATAGATAAACCTATCATTAAGCTACGTCATATTGAGTTTTTATCTTGTTTAATGATAAAGCAATCCCTTTCTGCTAATACTCGAAACTGTATTTAAAATAAAGCACTGAAGGATACGAATTTTGATATTTACATATTAATATGAATCAGTCGTGTCACCTCGATATCATTGTTTATATGATTAGAAAAACCGTAAAAAAGACTTGAGCACTTCAGTAAAATACTCGAAACTGTATTTAAAATAAAGCACTGAAGAATACGAATTTTGATATTTACATATTAATATGAATCAGTCGTGTCACCTCGATATTATTGTTTATATGATTAGAAAAACCGTAAAAAAGACTTGAGCACGTCAGTGAAATGTTTAAGTTTTATGACTTTTATATTGGTTAATATTAATCCTTCAGGGTTGTCTTTGAAATAGAATGGATCACGAGATGATACGTAGTTTATCTTCCACTGAAGGAAACTATTGTAAAACCTCTCTAAGTTTCTGTTAATTCCAGATATTCCAAAGGTGAGCGTTCATATCCCCAGACACCTGACAGATGCAGTTGTAAAGAGAGGACACGATATATTTTTGGAATGCCACGTCATCGCCAATCCCTCCGTATCAGAAATAGTTTGGATGTTTGAGGGGAGAGAGCTGCATACAAACAAATCTGAGGGAATTATTGTTACCAACCATTCCTTAGCCTTACAGGGGGTTGACCGGACTAAGAAAGGACGCTACACGTGCGTTGCAACCAACGTAGAAGGGAAAGGAGAGAGTGAACCTGTGTTGTTAAGGATTCAATGCAAGTACATAAAGTTCAAATAAAGTTTTGATGACGCAAATATCCGTAAAAAACGCACTACTGCATACAAATGATCAACATGACTCTACGCGTAATAGTCCTTTAGATTTGACTGCGCAGCTGACGATAAAAAAAAAAAAACAATGTCAGTAGCAATCAGGTTTCGAGACAACAGCCGAAGGAAGCGTGAAGTGTTTTTTTTGTGACTTTTATGATATGCTCTGATTTTGAAAAGCTTGCTTTCTGACTAAATCTATTTTATTTTCTAAGAGATTGGTTGAAATATTTTCAAATAAGCATATTTTGACACGCAAGTAATTTATAAATGCTACATACTTAGAAACTAAAACTGAAGGCACATTAAATTATATTATTATAATATAATAGTTTATACAATTCTGCATTTTACGTTTCGTAACGAATTATAATTCAAACAGTCTACTATGCTGGATATCATTGTTCAAACTGCGACACCGTAGCTTGCATGTTCTATTCAAAACAAACGCACTCGTCAAATCGCAAGTACATATATGGAACAGCTCGTTGTTAGTTTATAATAGTAATTAGGCTTACGTAAAGCATGTAACAAGTTTAAAACACGACCTACACTGACACTTGGTGTTGTTTCACAGTAAGTTGCAGCTGTTATTGGAGGGGTGTTATTGTGACGTCATAGCCTCTGGTGTAGAAGCTTTATGTAAACTATTGTATAATTATAGTATGTTTGTATCGATGTTTAAAAGTTAAACAAAAGATCGTAGAGAGCTGTCAAATTAGAATATCATAAGTTAACAGTGCCTGTTATTTTTCATGAAGTTTCGATTATTGAAGCTATTGTAATGGTTGATAACAGGAGACTAGATGAGAACCTTCTTAATAATTATTTTAAAATCATTTATTGAACTTCGACGTTTGAGATTCTGACTAGAAAAAAAATGTTTTGGTTTGTTTTCCTATAACTTAATTTAGATGAGAAATAAAATTATTCTTCCGTTAAATTAGGGTAAAAACGCGAGTTTAACTCGAAACTAAATTTAATCGAATTTGTTATTCTACTTTATAAATCAATTTAAAATCTGACCTTCAAGTTTATCCTCAGTTCCTCCCGTTTGTAAACTGAATCAGCAAGTGATTTACGGAGCACCTCTTAATGAGCCTATAAACATCCATTGTGACGTGGAGGCAGAACCACCCGAAGTGACGTTTCAATGGTCATTCAACGACTCCAAAGATGTCGAAGATTCGTTAACATATGAGAGTAATCTGACAAAAAGTATTGCTACGTTCACCCCAAGAAAACACTACCATTACGGTACTTTACTGTGCTGGGGTAGAAACGAAGTAGGATCTCAGACAGACCCATGTGCTTATAAAGTTATACCCACAGGTGAGTTATGACAACGTTACTGTATACAGGGGGTTATAACAATATACTCAACGTTGAGTTACGACAACGTTACTGTATACAGGTGGTTATAACAATATACTCACCGTTGAGTTACGACAACGTTACTGTATACAGGTGGTTATAACAATATACTCAACGTTGAGTTACGACAACGTTACTATATAAAGGAGGGTTATACCAGTATACCCACGGGTGAGTTATGACAACGTTACTGTATACAGGGGGTTATAACAATATACTCAACGTTGAGTTACCACAACGTTACTGTATACAGGGGGTCATAACAATATACTCAACGTTGAGTTACGACAAAGTTACTGTATAAAGGGGGGTTATACCAGTATACCCACAGGTAAGTTACGACAACGCTACTGTATACAGAGGATTATAACAGTATCCCCACAGGTGAGTTATGACAAAGTTACTGTATACAGGGGATTATAACAGTATACCCATAGGTGAGTTATGACAAAGTTACTGTATACAGGGGGTTATAACAGTATACCCACGGGTGAGTTATGACAAAGTTACTGTATACAGGGGGTTATAG